TTTTTTTTTCTTTTTAAGAGCCTCTAATGTTGCATAGAAAAATTGAGAAATAGTAAAAAATTTAAAATTGAAAAAACTGGGAAATGTTAAGTTGCCCCTTTTTAGGAATGAAATTCGGAATAGAAAGGCAAGTCGCTCATTATTTCAAAAATATCAGTAAAATTTCTGGTCCTAAGCGATTTATTTTCCTAAGAGCACCATGAAAAAATTTTTTTTAATTGCTCCTCAAAGTCAAGCGACGGTTTTGTCTGTTAATTTCATGTAAATAGTTTCATGGAAAATAAACATAAGTACAACATACTGAATATAGTTAGATTTTTAATTTATTTTAACACAGTTCAAATATATTTGTTCTTGCTCATGTTTTTTCTCAAATAAAAAAAAATTCTTTAAGCAATACTTACTAGGATGCTTGTTTCAGTCAACTTATCAAAGAACGAAATTTTCAAAACTTATCGAAGAACGCAACATATCAAAGAGCGCAATTTTCAAAAACATCAAATAGATGTTTTTGAAAAATCGTCTGCTTTTTTGAAGAACGCAATCACAACAGTACTTAGCTAGGCAAAATAAGAAAGACTCATCCCACTTTCTTATACAGGTGAATGGAATAAAAACTTTCAAACTATGTTAGGTTTTTCTGTAGTTTGAGAATCTTCCTAATTATCCTCCTAATTATCCTTGAAACCAGCAACATGACAAATTATGGCTTGATAAATTTTACATTGAAACAAACAATTTAATTTAAAATGAAGATTATTATTATTAANTTCTTATTTGTTTCAAGCATTCATTTGTAAATAAAATTTGAGAGGCTATCTATGATTAATATTCTTGTTATAAACTATTTAATTCCGTTTCATACGCAATATCGCTTTTATGATTAATTAATTTAAAATGAAGATTATTATTATTAAGATTATTAAGTTAAAAAAAACAAAGAAAACATAGAAAGAATGGATTAAATTTTTTAAAGACAAGAAGATAAATTATTAATAATGAAAATATTTTTAAAAAATATATAAAAATAAAAATTAAAATGCCGAAAAACAAAGTAAGGAAAATATCAGCTCACACGATTGTACCTGCAAAAAAGAGTGCTATCTAATATTGTATTAATATAGCTGAAGCAAAATATATCAATACAATAATGTGAAGAGCAGCAAATATATATGTGTATGTTGTGTGTTACTAAGAAATATAAATTAACTAAATATAAACCATGTTATCTACATTTCTGCATGATTACAGTAGTAATTTAAATATTTTAAATGCTTATATAATAAAAAAAATAACATTTTAAGTATATAATACTAATTCTAAAATATTTATCAATGGCTGATTATTCGAGAAGGTTCTTGAGCTTTCATGCTTTTTTAATATTTCAGGTCAATGAAAATTTTGTGATAACATTTGTTGTAAAATCATTGATAAAAGAAGTCATCAAGAAATGTTGCTTGTTCTATAAAATGCACAGGTTGGGGGTTTACGGACCAGATTTATTTTTAATATCAATCAGCACAAAGTACTTAATATCATTTAATCTGCTGGATCCATTTAAAATTTATTCTGATGATTAACAGAGGCGTCAAAACCGGGGGGCGGGGTGAGAAGCAGGGGTTTTGTCCAAATCTCATACCAGTAATATTTGAATTATTTTCAATAATAATCATAAAAATTTTGAATTCAAAAACTTCGATATCAAGTAATATGTTTTAATTTTATTTATTTTAAAATAAAAATATGATATTTAAAAATTTGAAAAGCATTTTTATAATTTTATCATAAAAATGAAATAAAACAGAAGGCACATTATAAGACATTATAAGAGTTTGCCATTATAAGAGTTTGCGCAAATGAACGTCAATTAAATAGGAATTATAGAAGTAAAAAAAATTTATTTCTATATTTTTAAATGATTATCTAATAGCCGACATTAAAGGCAATTTTTTTTTCTTTTTAAGAGCCTCTAATGTTGCATATAAAAATTGAGCAATAGTAGAAAATTTAAAAAATTGGGAAAATGTTAAGTTGCCCCTTTTTAGGAATGAAATTCGGTGTAGAACAAATCTCTCATTATTTCAAAAATATCAGTGAAAAGTTTCGGACCTAAGCGATTTATTTTCCTAGGAGAACCGCGAAAAAAATATTTAAATTGCCCCCCTAAAAGTCAAACGACTGTTTTGTCTGTTAGTTTCATGTAAATAGTTTCATGGAAAATAAACATAAGTACAACATAATGAATATAGTTACATTATAAAATTATTTTTACCCAGTTCAAATATATTTGTTACTTGTTCCTGTTTTTTCTCAAATAAAAAAAAATTCTTTAAACAATACGTACTTGGATGCTTGTTTCAATGAACTTATATAAAACACATCGAATAGATGTTTTTAAAAAATCGTCTGTTTTTTTTGAAAAAGGCAATCGCAACAGTACTTAGCTAGGCAAAATAAGAAAGAAGCAACCCATTTTCTTATTTTCTGTAAAGCAGAGTAGTTTGAGAATCTTCCTAATTATCCCTGAAACCAGCAACCTGACAAATTATGGCTTGATAAATTTTACATTGAAACAAACAATTTCTGAAGTATGATTGTTTCATTCACTATTTTTCTAAATGTACTGGCAATTTTGTCATAAAATTTCCCAATACTTGTGTTGTAAAAGTCTTGATTTACACCTTTAATATGTGTTCCTAACTTTTGTGTACCATTCATGAGCTTACAATTTAATTCAAAACACCAAGGAAAAGTGAAACAATTTTTTTTTTTTTAATATCAAGACTATTTAATGAAATTATAGAGTTAATAATGATTCGAAGATTTTATTAACGGCTATAATTTTTATTAATGTTATTCAAATATATCATATTTTTATTCTCATATACATACGTTTGTTAATTCCTTAAATATTTTATAAACTACCAAATTAACTCATAAAGCATTCTTTCTATACCATTTAAGTTCTTCTCTTTACGTCCTAAGTCATTCGATCAGTTTAATTTTGCCATCTTTGTTCAAGTACGTGAATGTGTACCCGAAAAATGCAGAATCAGTTTACAAGAAAACGACTAGCAGCCTCTTTGAATATATAAATAAATAAATTTAAAAAATTATATTTTATGTCAATATTTCATTGATGTTTTTAGTAATCCTGAAAATTGTTTTAAAATAATTCGTTTCTGTGAGGTTTCATAAAAGTTATAACGCTACTCATAAAGAAGTTGAAATAAAAAATTTCTTGATAAAAAAAAATCTTATTGAAAGCATTAAATAATTTCAAAACAAAATAAAACAAAACTTCAAAAAGGACAGCTACTGAATGCGATCATCATCCTAATCCTGAAAATAACCTCGGCCATAAAAAAAATCAACCATTAATACACTTTTCCTAAAATGTTTTGTACATCAATAAAATTATTATAATTATCCATTTAAAATCAAACCACCTATTTATTTAACAGAAAACATTCTGTAAAACCAATAAACTTTTTGTAATTATACATTCAGATTTTTACTATTATGACATCGTCAAATAATGTTTAGAACTACCGGCATCATTTATGACAAGATTGAAAGTAGGAAATACCTCTACATATAGATAAAAAGATAACCCCAACATCAATGTGTAACATCCGAACAGGTAGGGGGAAAATGGACCCAGCAATTACTTTTCTAATACTCAGCAAAGTTCAACAACCCAAACCTTAATACTTCTTTACATTCGATAATATGAAAACGTTAGATCTTCCAAACGCCGGCAAGAAACAGTGTGTGTATTTTTAATAGTCAGCTACTAAAATTGACTCTAATTAACAACGTAATTGAAAATCCGCTTTTATCGAACAAGGAAAAATAAGTTACTTTTTTTTCTAAGCTTCGCAATTACTCATAAAGCGTATTTGTATGTAACGGACCATAAAACAGGACATTGTAATTTAACAGTTATAATTACTTACGTTAGATTCTTACTTTATTCTTTTTTAGATTCTTACGTTATGTTGTGTTCGCGCGTTCGGATTCTTTATTTGTTTCGTTTGTTATGATGCGGAAAAAAATGTATGTACTTAGCAATGTTCCTGCTTAACTCTTCAACCGTTGTTTGTATTTTTTCTTATTTGGAAAGAGTTGACGCTTTCTCCGTTCTTTCTTAAATGAAAGCAATTATTGTAGTTTTTTGTTTGTTTCGTTTCATTTCTTTTCTATTTCGTATGAATGTATTTTCTAGACTCGATGTTTCATATTCGTTTTAATTAAACTATTGAATTAATAGTGGATATTTTTTTTCGTTTGATGAAACTTTTTCTTGCAATTGCTTATGAAAGAAGAATATAGTTTTGTGAATGTGCCAAAATGTTCAGAGAAATTTTGAGTGATAAACAACTAAAATAATATTCCAGCAATATTCTTTAGTCATCTATCCACTCTAGCCCCCTCTTCCCAATAGGCATTTTATTTCTTTTGTTTGGAACTATACAACCCGTAGCAAGTTTTAATTTTTTTTTTTTGTTTGATTTCTTTCCTATTTCGTAGGAATGTATTTTCTAGACTCGATGTTTCATATTCGCTTTAATTAAACTATTGAATTAACGCTGAATATTTTTTTTCCCTTCCAATGAAGCTTTTTCGTTAAATTGCCTTTAAAGAGTAATATAGCTTTGCCAATCTTTCAAAATATTCAGAGAAATTTTGAACGATAAATAACTAAAATATTCCAGCTATAAACATTAGTCCCATATCTACTCTACCCTCCTCTCCCCAGTTGGCTTCATGTTGATTTTGTTTAAAACTTTAGAGCGAGTAGCAAGTTTTAATTTTAATTAAAACAAGTTATCGAATTTAAATTTAATATATATGTCCTCAGGCTCATCTTAAAAAAGAACTCTCTTTAGCAATACTTTTTTTGAAATGTTTCTTATCAATCATATTTACATTTAATGTAATAATTATATTTTTAATGATAAATTTTTATTCTAATGACAAATTTCTTTTTGTTACAGAACCTCATTATCCTGTTTCTTCCATATTGAACATTTTTACATATTTAACTCAAGTATCAAGATGACCAGATATTGAATAATATCAGACAAACTCTCAAAGTATGTATTTGTTATTGAATTGCAATAAGGGACTGTCCAGAAATTATGCCACACCTTTTTTCAATATTTTCGACCCTCTCTCTTACTTTGTCACAAAATGTCACACTTTACATACCTCTTCCACCCTGCCATATGTCACGCTATATTGCTTAAAAATATATACTCGCAAATCAATAGCAAAGCACTACGTTATAGATCATGCTTCAAATTTTATTTTTAAACTTTAACTATATGCTCTCATGACATTTGCGAGCATAACAATAATAATCATTGTAAAAATAATTATTGTAAAAATACTTATTTTGAATGAAATAAGATTTAAGTTCACAGCAAAAAATAATATACAAAATAATACACAGTGTTAAAATAATAATGCAATAGTGTTAACATAATAATATTAAAAAGCAAATTTAAACAGTAGTATTTAGAATTTGAAACAGAGTTTAGAAATGATCTGTTTCAAACTGGAATTCAAGTTTATTTTTATTTTTAAAATAAACATTAAATGTTGAACGCATTGAAAGAAAGCTTTTTTTTTTTAAAGTTTGACATCCATATATTACACCTAGTATTGAAAAAAAGATTCCTTTTTTCTTTTGTTTTTACAGCAAACAAATCTAAAGCAATCTTTTTTTTATGATAGCATTTTAGCTCCATAACAAATCATCAGTAAAACAGACTTGAAAACCAATGACAGCTAAAAAAGTTAATTTGCCAAGCTCTAGTAATCATTGATCATAATTATTTAGATTATGATTATTATACGATCTGATTCGAAATTGCGCGTATCGTGAGCATTTCAAATTTATTACATACCTATTTTAATTATTGACAGCGAGTGCAGTTTATGGTTTATTTAGCAATAAAATTTTAATTTCTGTTTTTTATGATTTCTTCTGTAATTTCCTGTCGAATAAATTTCAAACCTTATAAAGAGAAAGCTAGTTAAGATATAATTTTTTTAAAGTAATTTAAGTATGGATTTATGGCAGATTGATAAATAATGACGTATTCCTTCGAGCATGGCTTATTTCGAAAAGGATGACACTAGACTAGTTCATCCGTCAAAATGAATTATCTAAACGCATTGCATGTCTCCCTCTTTTATTTTAATATACACGTGAGTGTTTTCTCAAATCCCGTCGCTTTTGTTTTGTATTGCACCATGTTTTTTCATTTTTTGATAAATTTATACTTGTGGGAGTTTATACATATTACTTGAACTTTGAATAAATTTAAAAATATTGATTAATGATAAATATTAATTAATGATTATAAATTGATAGTAATTAATCAACAATAATGAATAGGTAAAAAATAATAGTAATTAATAATATTTAAAAATTAATAAAAATAATGATTAATAATTCATAATAAATAATAATTTATGATAATTATATTATAATAAAATAATGGTAATTAATAATATTTAAAAATTAATGAAAATAATGTTTAATAATTTATAATAAATAATAATTCATAATAATTATATTATAATAAAATAATTAGTAATAATTATATTATAATAAACTAATTAGTAATAATTAATAATAATTAATAAATATAATAAATAATTAGTAATAATGATTAAATTATAATAAATGAAATAATAATTATTAAGTAAGTGACTTATACCGTGCATAAATGTCACTCTTGATTTGTGAAATACAGTCAGTTTGTGAAAAGAAGGACTAGCAAGAAGTTTCACATATTGATTAAAATAAAAATATTTAAAATAAGCACATTAAATATTTTTATATTTGTTTAAATATTTTTTGTCTTTTTCAGTTAAAATAAATATTCTTTTAATCATTATTATTGTTATGCTCATAAAAGCCGTGAAAAAACGTAGTTTAAGTCTTAAAATAAAATTTAAAGCATGATCAATAACATGTTTTTTTTTTTTTTTTGAACTGCTGACATGTGCTTTTATAATATAGTATGACATGTGACAAGGGGAGGGGGAAGGGGATGATGAAATCTGATAATTAGAAACAAAGGGAAGGAGGGGGTAAAAATATTGAAAAAAAATGAGACATCATTCATGAACGATTCCTTAAATATTTCCGTACGTTGAAAATTAAAAATATATATTTTTTTACTATTATTTCTGCTAATAATAACAGTGTTTTCATGTCTTAAAAAGTAATTTCACGCAGTAGAATCCCTACAACAGTAATGTTAAACCTTTCTAAAAATTGGCAATAAAAACAAGTTTAATATTTTTTCTTAGCAGTAAGTTAACACAAGCAGTTTAATTTAATGAGAGTTTAAAAAAGAATTTTAGAAATTATTTGTTTGGTATTCTACAAAGATTTTCAAAAAAACACTTAAAATGCATTAAAATTATATTTATAAGAAGTTTTATATGAATATTCAAAGCTCTCATTAAATTAATGTAAATGATACATGGAAAATAATACCCAACTTTGGAAAAAATGTTCCTCTTTGTGTTGAAATTTGCATGTTTGAAAAGTCGCCAAAATGGACTGGTAGCAATGTTAACCTTTAGTACAAAGAAGTTTTGAAAAATTTTAAACATATATCTAATGTCACTAAAATAAAAATTAAAATTGTTTTGGTACAGTAAAATCTGAACTTTAAAGTGCCCTTTAATCTTGATGTAGTCTGACTTTTTCATTTCACAGCGTCTCTCATAATTATGGATAAATGTTTTTTCTGAAATTATCTGTGTTACTAAATATTTTTAAATTTGAAATTAATTTCTTAGAAAATGATAACACCGTCCAAATTTTAAAATTTTATTTGTGTGAAATAACCTTTTATATTTAACCTAAAACAGTTTATTTGCGTCTTGTTAATTTTTTTAATATAGATTAAGTTTTTTAATGTAGGCAATAGATTGGATTATTTTAGCATATCCCCTTGCACTGTCAGATTTCTTTATTTTATTTTTAATGAGTAATATTTTTCGATTATATATATATATATTATATATATGTCTATATATATGTATAATTTAATTATTTAGGCATTTTAAAACAGATAGAAAAACAGCGTGTCCTGGAATTTCCAGGACACGCTGTTTCCTAAGTTATTGTATTGACCGTTCCAGGGCTGATTGTACTCCGGAAAAAATCCGGGCTTCCGGAATTTTCGCTAACAGTGATCCGGAAGTTTCCGGAGATCGAAGGTCCAGACGTTTCAAAAAATCATTGATCACAGAAGTTTCCGGAAATCGAATTTTCAAAGGTGGAACTTAAAAACACAGTTTATTTTATTTGTTTGTAAGGGAGAGCCAGAGAGATACTTTATAAGCTTATATTCATGATTAATATTCATTTTTTATCAGTAAATAGTTGTTCTAATCATAAACTCAGAGAAAGACATATTTGTAAATTTTAATTACTTCTCCAGGTCATCATAGGTATGTGTAAATGGTATAGGTATGTGTAAAATTTTAAATATATTTTAAGTAAACTAAGGAGTATTGAGAAAAAGGAGGAAAAAAAAAAATTTTAATTTTTTTTCAGTTTTAATCTTTTCAATTTAATCATCTTTTTTTCAATTTAATCTGTTTTTCAATTTAACCCTGCCGTTCTCCTAAGTTATCGTATTGATGGAAGTGTCAAAGAGTTAAAATACCTCTGTTTTCAGATTTTACTCTCAGCAAATTTCGTTTCAAGCTGTCTTATATTAAAAACAAGTTTTGTGATTATTGGAAAACATTTTTGAGCTTTTTATTTTTATTTTTTTGGATTATATTAAGCCAGTTTTGTTGATTTTACTTAAGTTAGTTTAAGTTGCTAGTTTTGTTAATTTTTTCCTTATCTATAAATAATACTAATATGAACAAATGAATAAAGGGGAAAATTATTGCATCTTTGTTTACGTTCTTTAGGTAAATCTCCCGCCAATAGCGTTCTATCTAGCTACAACGAGAACTCCCTCAGACACCAGACTCGTGTGCTGGTGGTTAAATTGGTTACGAAAATAAGTCAGCTCACATAGGGTTATGAGGCTTAGCGTTTCAGGTTAGTGTATGTTGGGAGAATCATGTCATTTCTTCATTTGTACCCCATTATAAATGGTTTTACTCCTGTTTCCTTAACAGCAAACAATCTCAGACTTACATCCAAAAGAAGTTCTCGTGAAAGCTGGACAATACACGAGTATTCTTCTTTCCCTTTCACGCTTCCTTTAGAGTCGTGTTGTCGTTTATTTCTAGCTCCGTGTAGTCATTTCTGACTTTTGAGCCATTTATTTTTATAAAACTATTTATGTATTATAAAATTATAATGGGAAAGTCAGAATTATTTAAAAATTAAGCAGCTTATATCCTCTACTCTTATCTACTTGTTTTTTTTTCTTGAGATTTTTTTCAAAAGATTACAATTAGAAAAACAAAATCTCCACATGTTTGCATTTTTTGATAAATCACCAATGTTCTAGCAAATATACCAGGAATGAACGTAGAATTTTAAATTACATTTTTGACTCAAGGCACAAATAGATAATAATTTAAGCATTTGTTTTATAAAAATGAAGAATGGTTTGAGCAATTTTTAAAAGAGTTTACATTATATGTTGAATAAATATTGCAGATGCTTTGAAAATGCATCAAATTCGAAATTACTTTAAACTTCAAAATTATCTGTTAATTTAAAGATTTTAACCGATTTTTATGGAATTATAACTCATCAAATGATTAGATTCACTTTTTGATACTATATAAGGCAATGCTTTATGCTTCATTGCTCGCTTTAACTGGCATTATCTAACCCGGTTACAGTTTAGTAAGAGCTAAATTGTTCCTCAAGGGAAGTTGAGCAAAATATCTTTTTTTTCTTTCTTCAAGATATTCTTCTTGACACACTTCAAAGATTTCTTTTCCTTATCTTTTTTCTTAAAAATGCAAAATTTACAATCTTAAGAAACTGAGATACTCTGGAAAAGGAAGTAAACAAGTGAAATAAAAAGTACGAGTTTAAAACGTATCGATTTTTGAAAAAGTTAAAAACATTTTGCTTATTTTTCATCTTCTTCCTGTAGTGTTTCATGCTTAATTTGTTTCGCACTCATCAATGATTTTTTCGAAAATATATGAGGAACTGTTGAAACTGGCTTAAATATTTTTTCACTTTTTTTGTACCAAGAAGATTTCCTGGTTACCCTTTATTTTCCCAACACTTTATTTTTTTACCTTTTTAAAGTTATCTCCATTTGATGGAAGGTAATAATTTTTGACGCAAATACCGCAACATTTTAGATAAATATTTTAAAACGTTTTTTTTTTTTTTTTTTTTTTTTTGATATTTCAAATCTTGTAATATTTATCTGACGTAATTAGAACTGTTTTTTAAATCGGCTGTTTCGTTTTCTAATAGTTCATGCTAGACCTGAAAATTTAAATTTTCAGTTAGTAGCCTATGGCCGGTGTAGCTTCTAATCACTTAGTAGCCACTCTTTATTCACACCTAAGGAGTCGATGACCGACATAGATAAGTCCTTTTCACTTAACAGCTACCTTTTGCAAACTTTTTTTGTTGCTTGGATTAAATTATATTTTTGAAAAAAATTCATATTCGAAATATATCTACGACTTTAAAAAGTGAAATCAACAATGAAGATAATATAAATATGTGACAAAATCCAGCTAAACATACTGACTTTAAGGAACTTTGTTTAAAAGTACTTTGATTGGCAAAATACATTTAATATAGACGTTGCAACTTTAAAATATCTGAATTGTTAAATTACTCTCCTTCCACGCGAATCTTCCCACCACAAATTTATGAATTCTGAAAGATCAAAATTTTTAATGAAGCCATAGGAAACTTATGAAAATTCTGTTTTCCCAAGTTTTGTTGTTGTTGTCGTCCGCCATTAAAGCAGAGGGGGTGCGATTGTTCTTCTTTTCCAGCGGTGCCCTCTATGGCCAAGAATTCAACTGCTGCCACACCCATTCGTCGCACCCGTTTATAGGGCGTATCCATTCATACATCCATTCATTCGTCCACAGATCGTAATTTTGACCTGAACAAGAGAACGATCAATCTCTGATTCAGTACCCCCAGATGTATTGATTTGTTATGGGAACATGGAGGACTTTGTGACCCGACTGGTTTAACATGCACCAGTCACCATTGACTACACGGAGAGTCTTCGGCCGGGTGGATTCGAACTCCCGTTTTTACAAACGTGAGTCTAGCACCCTGCCAGCCAGGCTATCCCTGCATTCCCGAGTTATTCTGCATTTATATACTTAAATCATTCCTTCCAAAAAAAAATGGACTGATTGCTTATTTAATTTAAGTCAGCACTTTTTGTTGACTCATGCCGTTTTCATGTCTAATTCATACTGTCTAACATTTGAGTTTTTATAAAATATTTTTTCCAGTGGTGGAACACTACAGCAAAAATTTTTAAGACAAATAAATTTTTTGTAAAACTTTTATAAGAACCGAAGAGCATATTCATATGTCTGCTTGACCTTTTATATATCTGTTTAAATTATGCATTTATAGTAGTGGAAAAAATTCTTTTAATTTATTCAGAAATTAATATATTACCTTTATCCCTTGGAAAAAAAATTTCTGAAATTACGGAAATTCCGTAGTAGTTGAAAGGTATGCAGAGATGGTAGAAATTTTTTAAATACATTGTATTCCTTAAAGACCGCCCTAAACATCAATAGTTAAAATCGTTATCAAAAATGAAGATGCATATTAAGAACCGAAAATTAATATTTAGGCTTGAAGAAAAAACACAAAAGCGCTATGAAAATTTGTCGAATCATAGTTAAGAGAGGAGTCAAAAGATGATTATTAAACATACCTTAAAGTTTTAACCTGCAATTAAACAGGTTTTAATGTCTTGTACACATGCCTTCCGTAATTGAGAATTGTAGGATATCGATTTATTTTTTCCTCTAAACATTAATTTGGCTACCTTCATTGTATGTGTATTCATTTCTTTTTGAATTAATTTTTTTTATTTATATTATTCATTATTTACTTTCACACAAGAGACGCACATTAATATTTAAAAATATCAAAAAACATTTAATAGTTCAATGTGATTATGATATCTAATAAAATTGGAAGCTTTTATGTACATTAAAATTCATATACAAGACGAAAATGTTTAGCAGTCAATTTGTTTTCCTCGTGTTGCTATTTTAACGTATGATATTTATTTCAAATTTTAATGAACAAAGACGTATTGCATTGCTATAAATATTTTGACATGCATGGTAGTAATTTTAAAGTGGAAAATAATGTTTTAGTTTAATATTTTTACCAAAATAAAAGGGCCTTTATTTGCATTTTTGTGAATTTTTTAGTCGTAAATTTTAAAATTTTTTAAGTAATTAAAATCCGGCCTCTATTTATGACTCAAAACTCTGTTTTTTTCCTCTGACTCGATCAATCAGCAATCAAAACGTCTTAATCTATCAGACGTTCTTAAAATGATTTATTTTATTAAACGATAACTTCCCTATTTTTTTTTTCCTTTTAAATATTGTTCATCTTATTGAGTCTCAAGTTTACTAGCTCTTTATAGATTTTCATTTAAGAAAAGATCAAAAGAATAAGATGTCTTAATAACAGTCATCCATTACTTTTCATCGATTCTTTGTTAGCTTGTAACATATGTTGCTTGCTGCAATTTGATAGTTTCTTCGATTAGATTTTCTATTATATGCTTTAGTTTCGCAACATCTGTGTGTAATAAACTGTATGTTTTCGCTTAGCGTTTCACCGTTCAAAATCTGAGAATATTTTTAAGTTTGTAGCATAATAATTCCATATTTAAATTAGAAGAAATATTTTTTTCCCTTTTTTTACGAGAAATGCATCAAAATTTTTTAAATGTTATTTGCTTATGGATATAAACTTTTTATTTCATTCATTGTTAAAAATTTCTCGAAAAAAGTGGGTAAATAACAATTTATTTCATTGTTATTTTACCTTATTCAATCAAAACAGTCAAATAATCATAAATAAAATGGCACTCAAACTGTTAATTGTGAGAAAAACCGTTTATAAAGTGCTTTCACCTAATACGGTTTAACAACCAGAATTTTATCGCACCAAATAGGCCCACCTAATGATACCACTTAGTTCCTGAGAGGGCTATCTAATCAATCTCATGACTGTTAGAACGGGGATTCGAGTCCCCAGCGTTGGCACCAATATATTTTATCCATTCCCATCAACACATGAAGAGTTCCTAGTGTTGCGCAGTCCCCAATTTGTGATCCTGGGCTGTTAGAATACGATGCTCTTATTCACGCATAGATGGCAGCACCATAAAGAAACCCCATCCAATATCCAGTTAAATTTCTTTTTTACTTTTTTGAAACCATGCTAGCTGCAAATGGTTCAAAAACAGTATAGTTTTGTATTCATGGTTTTTAAATCTTGCTAGTTGCAAACAGTTTCAAAACAGTAAAAGTAAAAAATTTTCTTTACCATAAGCTTTCTGATTAATTGGATGAACAGACTGCTGCCGGTTATTTTACCTTAATTTTAGAATGAAAATTCTAACAGTGTATTTTAAAAAAATTCAAGTAGTAATAAATGTTGTTCTAATACTAGGTAGGTAAAAGCCGATATTTCTCTGCTGAACTACATGGCAGTTTCAAAACAACCTCAAATAACTCCAGAAACTTCTAGTGGAGAAGGGCTTGAAGATGAAATCTCAGCCAGAGGAGGTAAGCAAATTTTTACCTTCTATTTTCATTCATATACTTTAAAACTTTCATCTTCCTTCCTGAAAAAAAAATTCATAAAGCCTAGAAAACAGAGTTACAAAATGTCAGTAATTGTTATAGTTTTGATATTTAGTGTGCGTGTGGTTGGTCAATTGAATAATTAAGCCAGCTGTTCTCAAATAGTGTTCTGGACTAGATATAACACAAGGATTGCAAATTTAACTTGTCTGACTTAAAACCTAATTCAAGATTAATGATAAAACGATAAGATATTCATTCCTCTAATTAAACATTTTAAATACAGTCTTTTATATGTTATAACCTTTACAATTACCTTAAACTTTATTTATAAACTTGGGGTTCCGTCGAATAAAGGTTCATTATTTAGGGTTTCTTAGCCGAAAAATTTGAGAACCGCAGACCATAGGCTCTTTATCACCGCCGTTTTGCAATGTTCCAGGCTGATTAGAAAGGTTTCTAATGTTTTCCAATCAGCCTTACACTTTTTTGGCTTGTAGCAGTAAGCCCACATACCTTTTAGACTAATTGAAAAATATGTAATTTATTTCTCAAATTATCCAGATTTATTTCAGGATACATGCAATATGTCCAGAGTTGAAAGCAAATAACCTCTTTAAAAGTTTATTTCAATAACTCTAAGACAATTCAGTCTAATTGAATAATTCTACGCACATTTCCTAATTATCATAAAGACTAATTGCCTGGTTTTAAATAAGCCTAGAAAGTCAAACAGATAATTTAAATGTTGAATAAATATTACAGATACTTTGAAGATGCATCAAATTCGAAATTACTTTGAACTTCAAAGTTATCTTTTCATTTAAAGATTTTAACCGATTTTTATAGAATTATCACTCATCAAATAATTAGATTCACTTTTTGATAAAACCTGGCATGTAGCAGTAAGTCCACATACCTTTAGGCTAATTAAAAAATATATAATTTATCTCTCAAATTATTTCAGGATATATGCAATATGCCAAGAGTTAAATGCAAATAACCTCTTTAAAAGTTTATTACAATAACTCTAAGCCAATTCAATCTAATTGAAATATTCTACACGCATTTCTCAATTAACCTGATGACTAATAGGGTGGTTTTAATAAGCCTAAAAAGTCAAAGAGATTAGAAAATATTATTTTCCAATTAGATTGACGCATTTCAAAACGCCGGCCTTAGCAAAGCGCTGTATTTTTCAATTAACCCTCGACACAAGATGATTACTGTCACTGTGTCAACTGAGCGTTGAGACTGAGTAAAAAATTAATTATTTTAGGAGTGGCGGGATAATTAAAATTAACTAAAAACAATGGTTTGCCATTCTTTCGACAGCATTTGCAAAATGATATGATAGCATACAGAATGGTATTTGCATACTTAAAAGCATGCATCTGGGCTGGATGAGGGATCTCTGGAAGCCATATCATTTTCAGATTATTATTTGCGGAATTTTTTCTTCTTTTAATCTGGAAATATACCAATACGAAACACCTACAACTATGTAATGCTTTCTCAACTTTATTCCTATTACTATTTTTCCTACAATCATAACTTTTACCTCATTTTACTACCAAAATATTTAAATGACTATAATATGTTTTGTTTAGTTTCATTCACAATAGGAATTTTACATCATATTGTATTTGAATAATTTTGAAATCTTAGTTTTCCGACATATCAGAGCTGTCTAATGTTTAAATTTGTCTTACACTTTTACAACCATTTCGATCGAAAATTATTATTAATTATTCAAGTAAACTTGTTTTAATCGTGTCTCCCCCAGATGAAGTTTTCGATTATTAGAAACGACTATTACAAAATCTTTCAAGGAAATTTCAAAATATCTTAGAGTATATTCATATAATCAATGCTCATTACGCTTTATATTTTGTGGTATTTTTTCTGGAGATAAAGTTTCTTAGTTTGTTCTTTTTTCTTATTTATTTTTTAATTTATTTTATTAACGTTTTATTAACTTATTAACGTTGTGGATTTTAGACAGCAAATTTGACTCAAAGCATCTCCAACTTGGTATGAATTTTTATGAGTATATTTGATTTGTATTAAACAAAATAACTGACCCACAACACTAGACAGCTGAGCGTTGAGAATAAGAAAGAAAAGTAACTGTTTTATTGCTCGCAGGTTAATTAAAATTAATTGAAATAAGTTTTCAATTAAAGTTTTTTGTATAATTTTTGTGATCAGATTTTGTTTTCGTTATCAGAATTTCGAAAGTAGGTTTTTTTTAAAAAAAAGAAAGGAAAGAAAAAAAGAAAGGAAAATAAAATAATAATTATCAATGCTTAAAATTTTTTGATTTATGAATACAATATACTATAGCTAGTCCAAAAAAAAACTGGTATAAAGCTAATGTATACTTAAAATGCTGTAATTGTATAAATTTAAATTACTTGACGATAGGGATACACTTTAAAATATTGTAAGACTTTTACATTCCTTATTTTTTTGTTGAGAATATTTTTTAGTTTTTCAACAAAACGTGTATACATTTTAGATACCATAAAAATGCAGATTTCCATAAAGATTCCATAGATTAGATTTACAATAAATACATCAGATATATATTTAAAATAATATAACATGCATTATTTATAAGTCTCGTATCACCTGAAAGTAAACAATAAAAATAGAATTTCAATTTAGAATTTTAATCAAAAACATGTTTATTTTATTTATATTATATAAAAAAAATTATATAAAATGTCTTGTATTTGAGGCGCATAAAAAATCTTTTCGAAATTAGCTTTTTAAAATCGAACTTTTTAATATAATTTTACCAATCTTTAAATTTTCCTGACACATAAAACATTTTAGAAACAGCCACTTTTCAAAAAATTGAAGAAATTAATAAATATTTTAATTTTTGTAATTTTATAATATTACATAAGTTCATAATTGAAAATTTCGAAATACCGCTATGCTACATATTGTTTTTACTTATATATGTCTTTTTCCGCCATAAAGAAATCAAATTTATAAATTTAAAAAATAATCTAACATGACTTAAATTATGCTTCAAAAGTCTTGTGTCACCTTAAAAAAACTAAAACAATCCAATGGGAGTCTGAAGTGATCATTCAAAACAAAAACACGCGCTCGTTCCTTGACGAAAATTAGCATTTTCTGTGTCGAATCTTTGGTTCGTTATCCAATATGTCGATCTTTAACTCATGTGACTGGGTATGTTGTCAAAGAGGCGATGCCTTTAATATCTGTGATTAGGTACTCTGACCCTAAAGCGATGAATTTATGATTGGTTTCCTGTTCTGTTTTCGCATTCTTTGCTCATCTCCTTTTTAAGATGAAGTGATTTCTCGGGATATTCAAGATGAGTACAGCAGGAACGTTTGGAGCGTAGCACGAAGGTTACGTAGCGTGCCTTGAATATGGTGAACTTGCTTCAAGGATTGTTCGGTGCTCAGTCAAGAATAGCACAAATAATAACCTTCTACAAGATTAGGGATGTCCATGCATCTTGCACGCTATTCTCTGAACCAAAGACATTGCCCATACATTTAGAGAGTGTTAAAAAATTTTGGCTACTGATGATTTGAGCAATTCTGTTTAACGATTGTAAATAGGTGATTTATTCCAAGTTATGTTTCTCTAAAAGTAGATATAATGTTTATTTATTGCTTTTTAAATTACCTAAATAGGGTTATTACGGAATGTTTAGAGAAATTTATGTTATAATTTTTGGTCATCTACCACTGAAGAAAATCGTAAAGTTTTTATGCTGGAGAAATAAGATTTAATACATTAATCCTTTTTTTATAATATATTTTTCTCTTTTTCGTGAATTTTTTTTATTTATTCTTGGAATTAATAGATTTTTAGTTTTTTTCTTTGTAAAGGTTTAAATAAAATTGGTGCAACTATTTATGTATTTTTTTTATTTCAATAAAATTTTTTACAAGATAACCTATATTTAAAAAAAAATCATTTTTAAAGAACTTTATTTTACAAAAGTTAAAGAAATGAAGCTCTGGGGATTTCATTATCTTTACCTTATTGGGGAAGCTTTCTGTTAAAAAAGAATTATTTTGTATGTACTTTAATTATCGAGATTCATTATTTTATCACATTCAGTTTTATCAATTTAAGTTATAAAATTTTACAATTTAAATGATAAAAGTGTTAATAAATTTTATAGCCATGTTAGTACAGCAATTAAGGCATTGGTTTGAGTTGGACCGGGGCTCTAAACCAGGAGGTGGCTTGAAGATTATCCAGCATCTGATCGATGGGCTCTAGCTTATCTGGGAAATAAAAGAGGATGCGCAATGCTGACCACCATACCATTGATACCAAAATTGTGAAGACATAAATTCCTGATCCCCTTAGTCATTCATATATATATATATATCAAATGAGTGATCAAAACACTCATTGCTGTAGTTATCAACAAAATTTCTACACTTATATTAAAGAAAGTCAGTTTAAAAATTAGTTTTCGGTATTTATTATTAACATATAAAGTGTATCGTTTAATAAAAAAATACTAATTTTTATTTTGTAAGGAAAAAAAAGGTAAATATTATTTGGTTCTTTTTTTTTTCTCTAAAAAAATTCACTTTCGTAATCTGCCTAACTACTCAGCCGTATGATTATATTCCTTACAAAAAACTATTCTTCCTACCTAACGATATCGTTTTCTTCCACATTCACGTTTCTTTGCTTTCCAATTATCATAATTGAACAATTTCATCAGAGTTAGTAATTCTTTCTATGTTAGTCACGCAATTTATCATAACACGGTTTCATTAACCAAAAGGAATATTATTTTGGACTGATATTTTATCACATTTCTTGCAGCAGGAATATTTCCGTAATTTATTATAACTTTGCTGCAAATTTCATATATATATATATATATATATATATATATATATATATTTTTTTTTTTT